TATATATATATAAAATCACGTTCCCATATCAAAGAATAATAGCAGGGTTGTTGCTTTCGTTGAACCTAAAGTAATCTTCTTTTAGTGAATACAGCCATAAGACTACAATGCATCATAGAAAAACCAATAATGCATGTGACATGTGTTGATGCCCAAAAAAAGTCACGGGGAGCCTAAAGACATTTAAAGCTAATATAACATATAATATTGGCCATACATTAATCCAAGTTGTTTGGGAATTAATTTATTAAATAAATATAGAAATAGTGTGTATGCTATGTCAAACCAATAATACATTTTTCCTATGCCAATCACTTACCAAGCTCACATGAATCCAAGTCATGTGGTTTACGAGGCTTGCACGAGGGATTGTGGTGTAGAAGGTTATGGAGGTCCATAAGGCCCACAGAAGCTCTTGGATAATGGAGACGTTGGGCTAGCTACTTGGGAGCACCAAAGTCCAAGCCCATTACTTGGAGTTCTCCAATGTGGGTGACCAAATGAGATATTCTTCAAGCACTCCCTATTACCCACTAGAAACAAGTCAATTCTAACACTTCCTTTTACCCATACAAAATAGTCATTTTCCAATGCGTAACTTTATTTGTTGGAAATAAGAATATCCCAATGCTCTCTTTTACCCCTTAGAAATAGACTAACTCCAACACTTCCTTTTACCTATTGGAAACCAAAGAGAGCCTTCACCTTCTATAAATTGGGAGGCATCGTCCAGGCAAAACCAACCCCTCCTGTGACAGGACCCGTCCCGAATTCCTCGAAATCCGAGACGAATCCCGTGGTATTTCAGGCATCATACCGATGCCGGGCCCACTTATTAAAGACACAAGACTTTTTGCCAAAATTTCGGCAGAGCCTCCCTTGAAAATTGGATATTTCCAATTTTCTCAACCTGTTAAAAACACAGTTATTAGCCACAACCGGCAGCATGCATAAGTTAACAACATGCAATTTACATAATAGGCCTCCGGCCTTCAAATAATTCGAAACAGAGCAATGGTCTTAAGTCAAATAATACATTAAACAATGCAAATAATAAACTCAAACAAATTTATGCATGCCCACTGTGATCCAGTTTTCTAACAGTTGTGACTCTTCTTATAAGATTTCAGAGGGTTATTTAAATTGAACAAAGCCTTATTCGTAAAACACAGAAAAAGCATTCTACAAGCACATTTCATCTTGTCTGAGAGGAAAACAAACAAAGTTCGCCAGATTCTAAGTCCAAGTGCTAGGGCTTAGAATACATATAGTTGAATCTTGGGAGGCAGTCACCTGTAGAACTTCAAGCACCGAGAAGGGGTGAAATTATTGTCCTTAGGACATTGCATCAAATCTGCAAGCCTCTATCTCGAATCCAAGTTAGTTTCATTTGTTATTGTTTACTGTATTATGTATTACAGTTTGTATCTATTTCGTTGATTCATATATATTGTTAATATATTATTATTTTAAATAGTCACTGATTGTTGTTTTTCCAACAATCTAAAGACAGTATTCGATGGATTCACAATCATCAGTGACTGTGAATGAGGTGACTAAGGATCCTCATGACGAGAAGCCTAAAAAGTTCAAGGGAATTGACTTCAAGAGATGGCAATAGAAGATGTTGTTCTATCTCACAACCATGAATCTGGCACATGTTGGGAATTACTTGAGAAAAAAATACAAAACAAAAGATGTTGGTGCCAAAAAGTTCATGATTGGAAAATTTCTCAAGTATGCCATGGTTGATTCGAAGACTGTTATTAAACAGGTTGAGGAACTTCATATTCTGATCCATGATTTGCTTGTAGAGGGGTGTTCTATTAATGAACACTTCCAGGTTGGAGCAATCATAGAGAAATTGCCTCCATAATGGAAAAACTTCAAAATTTACTTGAAGCACAAGCGCAGAGAGATGTCTATGGAGGATCTGATTTTGAGGCTTCGAGTTGAGGAGGATCACGGGAAAGGTGATAAGGGTGAAGTGCCTGTCATGGAAGCCAAAGCCAAGAGTGGTGTATACAATAGAAAGTTAAGACATATCAGGCGTAGGCATAATACAATTAGATAATTGCTCTCAAATGGAATTATATCCATTAACTATATGAAGTCAAAGGAAAATATTGCATATCCTTTGACAAAAGGACTACCAAGAGAGCAAATCAAATCTACATCGAGGGGAATGGGATTAAAGCCAATCCAATGAATCAAACCTGGCGGAAACCTAACCTAGTTGATTAGAGATCCCATGGTCTAGGTTCAATAGGCAAACTGGTTGGGTAAGATTCAAAAAGTTGAACACACAACTTAACTCATTCCTATGATGGTTAGTGTGTTGTCTGTTGATGTGAAGGTTATGCTTAGCATTTAATGACACTAATATCTTATTAAGAGGAGTTTAGGCAGAAAACTCTTAATTGGTGTCCCCTATATGGGAGTAAATGTGGGGTCGCATTTATGAGAACGAAAAAAGGCTAAGTTCTCTAAAGCTCTCATGAAACCTGGGACATGTTTAGGACCAATATGTGTGAGACATATTGTCTAGGTTTACTATAGCAGTGAACAGTTCAAGATCAATTATATCCACTACGTCACCAAGTAAATCCGATATGTTTTCACTAGGGTAAGTTCAAGTCCAAAAGACACTTTTTCTGATGTATATAACATCTACTTCCTCTCAAATGCATTACATTCATTTAGCACTATACGTATAATATTTTATTAATTCGAATTAGTTTAATTAATTATTTTCTAACAGTTGTGACTCTTCTGATAAGATTTCAGAGGGTTATTTAAATTGAACAAAGCCTCATTCCTAAACCACAGAAAAAGCATTCTACAAGCACATTTCATCTTGTCTGAGAGGAAAACAAACAAAGTTCGCTAGATTCTAAGTCCGAGTGCTAGGACTTAAAATATAGATAGTTGAATCTTGGGAGGCAATCACCTGTAGAACTTGAAGCACGAGAGGGGGTGAAATTACTGTCCTTAGGACATTGCATCAAATCAGCAAACCTCCATCTCAAATCCAAGTCAGTTTCATTTGTTATTGTTTATTGTATTCTGTATTACAGTTTGTATCTATTTCATTGATTCATATATATATTGTTAATATATAATTATTTTAAATAGTCACTGATTGTTGTTTTTCCAACAGATCCACTGCCCGATACTGTGCTTTCTGGCTCATCTGCATGCACCTTTCCACAGATAACGCACTTGGGTTTTGATCCACTGCTCGGTATACTGCTTTCTGGCTCATCTGCGTGCACCTTTCTTTTGATAATCCACTTGGGTCTTGATCCACTGATCGGTATAGGGTTTAGGGCTCCTCTACTTGTGCCTTTCGAATTATAATAACCTTGGGTTTTAATCCACTGCTCTGTATACTGTTTTCTGGCTCCTCTGCTTGCCTGTTTCGATTGATAATAATCCTGGGTTTTGATCCACTGCTCGGTATGCTTTGTTCTAGCTCCCCTGCTCGCACCTTTCGATTGATAATAACCTTGGGTTTTACTCCACTGCTGGGTATACTGTTTTCTGGCTCCTCAGCTTGAACCTTTCGAATTATAATAACCTTGGGTTTTAATCCGCTGCTCTGTATACTGTTTTCTGGCTCCGCTGCTTGCACCTTACGATTGATAATAATCTTGGGTTTTGATCCACTGCTCGGTATACTTTGTTCTGGCTCCCCTGCTTGCTCCTTTCGATTGAAAATGACCTTGGGTTTTACTCCACTGCTGGGTATACTGTTTTCTGGCTCCTCAGCTTGAACCTTTCGATTGATTATCCACTTGGGTTTTGATCCACTGCTTGGTATACTGTTTTTTGGCTCCTTTGCTTGCACCTCTCGATTGATAATAACCTTGGGTTTTGATGCAATGCTCGGTATACTTTTTCCTGGCTCTTCATGCTTATCAGATTTAGCTAGGGCCATTTTTGGGGACATATGCCTGCCTCTTTGCATTCAGTGCCTCATGTGATGCCTTGTGTATCCTTATTAGGTTGGAATTCAAAGTTCTTTCACTTGGAATTGTTACCTCGAGAGCACGAGTCCACTCTTCCGGGACATTTTGGGGAGACTCAATAAGCTCTCGACCTGTTGCAATCTCAACAGGCTTTACACTAGCCTCCACCGCTGCAAGTGCACCACAGATCCAGCCATCTTGATTTCTGATGTATCTGAAAACAAGTTGTTTTGAGACCTAAAATTGATCGAGCTCACTCAGCTTCGTAAGCTTGAAAATGAACTTCACTTCGACCGATTTTCTTCACAGAATGAACGCCCCCTGCTGTTTTAGCTAATCGAACCTGGCTCTAGATACCATGTTAATGTTTCTGAATCTGTATATAAGTTTTGGTAAGAAATGAAAAAGAATAAACAAAAGAATGACTGAGAGAGAATGATTGCAAGATCACTCTACTATTCGTGTAGCAGAGAGCCTTCTTGTTCTTTAGATTTCAAGAAGATGAACCATATAGCTCACACTCTTGGTGTGAGCATATTACATGTTATACAATGCCAGCTGGATGCATTACATCACAAAGCAATCTCAGCCTTCTATTAAACAAACCAATCAACGTATGACACTTGGATTACAACAAGAACAGAATTACAACTAACTCGAGAAATCAGTTTGAGCACTTATAATTCAACAAAAAAGAACAATTGTTGTTGTGTTGTTTACACACTCGTGTGAGACGAAGCATAAATTATGTTGCGAGAATAGAAATGAGCATGTACAAGATGCCAAAATTCAGGGGTTGTTGCTACGATCACAGTTCTAGGATTTCATCTAACAAAAGACATCAACTAAAATTCAGGAACACTATTTGCCTTCTGTTGTTGTTCTAGCACATTTTCCTCATGTCTCCTTCCACTGAGATGAGATGCCAAGTCAATCTCACCAGGGCAGTGCACATTACAAATTTTGCACCACATACAATAATCCTTCTTGCTTCGAACCTCATTCCGGTTTCGTTGTTGGCCTCCACTCCTTTTTAGATTTATCAGAAGTCTTTGTCCTTGAAGTTGGAATGCTATTTTTCTGGCTTTGCACCTTTTCATCTACAATAACTTTTTGTTTTGATGCACTGCTCGTTGTCGTCTTTCCTTGCTCCTTGTTAGGTTGATTAGATTCCTTTGCAGCTGAACCCGGGGCAATTTTTGGCGCAAACGGCCAGCTCTTTGCTTTCAGTGCCTCACATGCTGCCTTGTGTTTTCTGCCTTGGAGGTGGGAGTTCAAAGTTGCTTCACTTTGAGTTGTTACCTGACAGAGGGCACAAGTCCACTCTTTCTGGACTTGTAGGGCAGACTCAATACTTGTAACAACCTCAACAACTTTTTCTTGAGTCTCCATGGTCGCAAATGTACCGTTTTCCATCTGAGTGTGCTTAGCTTCAGCCTCGTGTATTTTACCGTCCGAGTAGGAGTTAAAAGTTGTATCACTTTGGGTCGTTACCTGACTGACTGCACTTGTCCACTCCCGAACCTTCTCTGAAGGTGGAATGTTCAGAATTCCTCTCTCTGATGCAATCCCAATGGCCTTTTCTTTAATATCCATACTGGGAAATCTGCTGTTTTCAGTTCCAGTGAGATCAGGCTCTGCCTGACTAACCTGCAAATGCATACGAAAATCTGTTGCAAAAACGGAAATGAGCATGTACAAAATGTTAAAAAGAAAGAAAAAAAGTAAAGTAAAACCTCCCAATTTGTTTTGACAAACACAACGAGTTTTAAAAAGTCAACGAAAGCATTTTGAGAAAATGTTTGCATATATTTTCTGAGGAACATTAGGCCTTTTATATTCAGAATCATCTGCACTGATTTGAAATCCTTCTATGCAACATTATGCTTTCTGGATTAATTTGGACTCTCTGAAGAAGACCAAGGGAGTCAAAGGTTAGCTCATCAAATTAATAAATCAGGCTCTAAATTATATTGCAAATGCAAACTTCATTTCACAATATTTTCTCTTTAAATCAAGCATAATTCAAAATCAAAATGAAATTCTCAGTCATAAGAAGAAATCAAAGAAAGCCAAAATTCAGGGGTCATTGTAACGATCACAGTTCTAGGATTCCATCTAACAAAAGACATCAACTACAAACCACTGGAGTGTATCGAAAAGTGTTATGAAAATTGTACCGCTTGATTGATAATAACCTTGGGTTTTGATGCAACGCTTGGTATACTTTTTCCTGGCTCCTCATGCTTATCAGATTTAGCTAGGGCCATTTTGGGGACATATACCTGCCTCTTTGCATTCAGTGCCTCATGTGATGCCTTGTGTATCCTTATTAGGTTGGAATTCAAAGTTCTTTCACTTGGAATTGTTACCTCAAGAGCACAAGTCCACTCTTTTGGGACATTTTGGGAAGACTCAATAAGCTCTCTACCTGTTGCAATCGCAACAGGGTTTACACTAGCCTCCACCGCTGCAAGTACACCGTTTCCAATCTGAGTGAGCCTAGGCTCAGCCTGGTTCCTTGCTTTCGGTCCCTCAATTGCATTCTTGAGGTTTTTACTGTCTAGGTCGGAGTTAAAAGTCCACCCCTTCTGGACTTCATTCAAAGGTGGAGTCTTCATAATATTTCTATCTGCTACAACCTCAATGGCTTTTTCTTTAATCTCCATAGCGGCAAATTTGCTGTTTCCAGTCCCAGTCAGATTATGCTTTGCCTGGATAACCTACAAATGCAATGAAAACAAGGTTCAAAAAGAACAATTGTTGTTGTATTGTTTACACACTAGTGTGAGACAAAGCATAAATTATGTTGCGAGAATAGAAATGAGCATGTACAAGATGCCAAAATTCAGGGGTTATTGCTACAATCACAGTTCTAGGATTCCATCTAACAAAAGACATCAACTACAAACCACTGGAGTGTATCGAAAAGTGTTATGAAAATTGTACCGCTTGATTGATAATAACCTTGGGTTTTGATGCAACGCTTGGTATACTTTTTCCTGGCTCCTCATGCTTATCAGATTTAGCTAGGGCCATTTTGGGGACATATACCTGCCTCTTTGCATTCAGTGCCTCATGTGATGCCTTGTGTATCCTTATTAGGTTGGAATTCAAAGTTCTTTCACTTGGAATTGTTACCTCAAGAGCACAAGTCCACTCTTTTGGGACATTTTGGGAAGACTCAATAAGCTCTCTACCTGTTGCAATCGCAACAGGGTTTACACTAGCCTCCAGAAAATTGTATGAGTTGCATCAGGGATCTCACACAGTGTACCTCTTTATTCTCCAGAGATGAAACTGCTTTGAACTCTTTCGCATCGGGATTTGACTTTGTTCTTTCAGACTGAAGCAAAAAAGTATTATTAGTCCATCTCTGACAACGATTCCAGAGAATGTGTTTTCCACAGTTAAAAGCATTTATACAAGTGCACACAAGGAGCATAATAAGATATTTTCTTCACCAAATTCAACATACTTACTTTGGAAGCAACAACTTTTTCTAGAGCCTCAGGTATGCTTTGTTCTGGCTCCCCTGCTTGCACCTTTCGATTGATAATAATCTTGGGTTTTACTCCACTGCTGGGTATACTGTTTTCGGGCTCCTCAGCTTGCACCTTTGGATTGATTATCCACATGGGTTTTGATCCACTGCTCGGTATCCTGTTTTCTAGCTCCTCTGCTTGCACCTCTTGATTGATAATAACCTTGGGTTTTGATGCAACGCTCGGTATACTTTTTCCTGGCTCCTCATGCTTATCAGATTTAGCTAGGGCCATTTTGGGGACATATGCCTGCCTCTTTGCATTCAGTGCCTCATGTGATGCCTTGTGTATCCTTATTAGGTTGGAATTCAAAGTTCTTTCACTTGGAATTGTTACCTCAAGAGCACAAGTCCACTCTTTCGGGACATTTTGGGAAGACTCAATAAGCTCTCTACCTGTTGCAATCTCAACAGGGTTTACACTAGCCTCCACCGCCGCAAGTGCACCGTTTCCAATCTGAGTGAGCCTAGGCTCAGCCTGGTTCCTTGCTTTCGGTCCCTCAATTGCATTCTTGAGGTTTCTACTGTCTAGGTCGGAGTTAAAAGTCCACCCCTTCTGGACTTCATTCAAAGGTGGAGTGTTCATAATATTTCTGTCTGCTACAACCTCAATGGCTTTTTCTTTAATCTCCATAGCGGCAAATTTGCTGTTTCCAGTCCCAGTCAGATTATGCTTTGCCTGGATAACCTACAAATGCAATGAAAACAAGGTTCAAAAAGAACAATTGTTGTTGTATTGTTTACACACTAGTGTGAGACAAAGCATAAATTATGTTGCGAGAATAGAAATGAGCATGTACATGATGCCAAAATTCAGGGGTTATTGCTACGATCACAGTTCTAGGATTTCATCGAACAAAAGACATCAACTACAAACAACTGGAGTGTATAGAAAAGTGTTATGAAAATTGTATGAGTTGCATCAGGGATCTCACACAGTGTACCTCTTTATTTTCCAGAGATGAAACTGCTTTGAACTCTTTCGCATCGGGATTTGACTTTGTTCTCTCAGACTGAAGCAAAAAAGGATTATTAGTCCATCTCTGACAACGATTCCATAGAATGTGTTTTCCACAGTTAAAAGCATTTATACAAGTGCACACAAGTAGCATAATAAGATATTTTCTTCACCAAATTCAACATACTTACTTTGGAAGCAACAACTTTTTCTAGAGCCTCAGGTCCTTTCTCATGTGCATATCTCTCCACCTCGGTAAAAACATTGTCTGTGTTAAACGAGGATTTCTTCCGCTTGTTGAACCAGTTGACAACAATTTGGAGGTCCGTGGAGAGGCATGGACAGATAAGGTGTTTATAGACATAAAATGCACCACCGAAATGAGGTATCACCAACCAGAAGACAATGATTAGCCTAAAGAATGGCCACAGTGGGAGCCTGACAGGTACAGAAATGGAAAAACAGGGAACATAAATAGATGAAACAAATTTTATAGCTCCTCATGATCATTAAACAATGAAAAGTTGAAAGAAATGTCAGCACTATGCCCCAAAGGACCTAACTGATATCTAACTCGGTAACTCGATAGATTTCATTTTCATTTTTTAAAAACAAATGAAAGCATAGTCTTAAAAAGAAGAAAAACCAAAAGTTTCTGTGTAAAAATTCTGTGGAACTATGTACATAGATGTGGTATGTGGCATTTTCTGGAACAAAAAGTCTGAAGCTGAACGAATAAACTACATCCATTTCATATGTTTAAATTGAATTCGAAAAAAGCAACGAGAACAACTTCAAATAACCTATGATTTAGGCATGTTTTCATATTTGTTAGTTTTTAACGTGTTTTTACGACCAAATGTGACTCCATATAATTGTGAATGTATTACCAGAAAGCTACCACATATCTGAAAACATGCACAATGAATTGATAGCCTTACAAATTCACAACCGTCTTAAAAAGTAACTTCAAAATTCTTTATGAGACTCTTATATCACAACCGTCTTAAAAAGTAACTTCAAAATTCTTTATGAGACTCTGTTTTGTCTCAATAAACCACAATGAATTGATAGCCTCACAAATTCACATCTGAAAATTCCATAGCTATTGAGAACAACAGCCACATTTTGAAAATTTCTGTTCTCCTTGTGATTCTAACACAAGGACAACCAAATTAATTTTATTTCGACATCTCCGTTTCTTTCCCATGTATGTACTAAGAAACAAATATTATGGACAACCAAATTAAGTTAGCAAAATTTGGGGGGAAACACACCACCTCACTCAAACTCACATTCCAGAAAGGCTTTCCTAATAACTTGGCTGAAAGTTCTGTTAAAGCTTCTGTTGCCTAAAATATGCAAGGTTTCAACTTTTGTATTCTTTTCTATTCATTTATTTGGAAACCAGAAAAAGCAAATCCCATAAAATAAACAACAGAATTACCATTTTAGGAGCTTCATAAATGCATGTTCAAATTGCAGAATCAATGAGAAGACAACCCAATAAGTATTCATCTTCTGAGAATCTGAAACAGAATTGGCCTCAATCGCCCTAATGGTACAACATCTGTCAAAAAAATAAAATAAACATTAAGGAAATCATCATCATTGTATCAACATCAATAAAAAAATAAAATTATTATCAAAATCATCATCATCATAAATTGTAATAACGAAAAATTACTCTCATTTGGTAAAGAAAATAAAATACCCAGAATCAAAATTATGCACAAGAGCAAAGTAAAAGATGCTAAAGTGGATTCTACAAGGATGAAAACAGAGTTTCTTCAAAACAAAATAAAAATGTGGGTGGGGGAAGATAGGCTCACAGAGGATACACCAGAGAAAGTAGAGGCCTGCAAAAAAAGAAATCACAAACAACATGAAATGATGAAAAATTATTTTGTAGTATGAGAAACATTTCCTCAACTCAACCGTGCCAAGATTTTCGTTCTCTTAGAGAGAAGCATACCATGCAAGGACATCAAAGCATTGAAGGGAAAATTGAACGAGACCCACAAACCCCATCTTGAGCTTGAGCTTCTTTGTATGTTTTCCTTGTCGTCGTCCTCTGCTTTGAAATTGGAATTTTAAAGTCTTGGAGAAGACCTTGTGAAGAAGCAAGTCTTGTCCGTACAGCGGGGTCAAGTTTACGATGAAACCTTAAAAGGTAAACTTTCACTACAACTGGAAGGATATTCGTAAATTGAGTCCAAAAGAAAATATCGAAACAAACAGTGTTTACTAAAAAAACATAAACAAGCTTAGAAATGGAAGAATCTACGGAGCAACATCATCAATGTAGCCTCAACGCGAACTTCTCGAAAGGGATAGGTGTCTCCCACTGTCCAGTTTTTTTTTTTTTTTTTCAAATTTTTTTTCAAAAAAAGTTTAAGGGAGGGAGAGGCTACACCCACTGTGCATTTTAAAGTGTTTGTCATTTTATATGCACGATTATTGTGCCTGTTGCTGTCACTCAACTCTCAAGGTCATTTTTCTCGCATAATGTAGACGTCGTAAGTTTGTCTTAAAGATTAAGTTATCCATTTATTAAAGGCTTATTTACTGTAATGCTCCCTGAAACTTTGGTCAAATCTTACTTTGCCATTCGAAAGTTAAAATGGCCCACTTAACCGCCTTGACCATGGTTTTGTGTTCCACTTTGCCTCTTGCTGTTATCACCATTCATAACTCCGTCAATTTTGATGACGTGGCAGGGCTATTTTTGTATTTTTATCACAATGATGATGTGTCATGTACATGACTCACTTTTTTTCTGAAGTGAAATAACATATTAATAAAAATTAAAATAATATAATTAAATAATGTATTTGTTGTTTAATTAAAAAATCTCTTGTTCTTCGTCTCTCTCTCAACCTCTCCCCTTCTTCCTCTAACTTCACCATCATACCACAACCACCACCCAACACAAAGCTACGCTCACCACCACCACTCCAACCCCACCGGAAAATCACCCACCTGCACCACAGTATAGTGCACCCATCTTCAACCCCGCAAAGACATATCATTGAAAATCACCAACAGAAAAACCCTCTGAGTATTGCTTATGGGATTTCAACCTAGAGAATTTATCAATCGTCCATGTGAATGTTACAGACACAAGCTCCCCAACTTGCTCAGCCTCCAGTTTTGGTTTAACAACCCAAAAACAGTAAACAAAAGAAAAATCAACATATTATAACAATAATAAACACCAAAAATCACACAATTGAGCCTAATTTAGAAAACCCATTAACTCAATCATATAGGGCAATGCATATGATGCTACAAACAACATTCTCTTATACTACACACCCAAATAAATGTGGACAAAATTACTCTGCTAATTTTCTGAAGCATTGCCCTGTTTTTGTTTTCTGTTGGGGTTTATTTTGAGTTTTGAAGAAAATGTTCAATCATGAGGAAAAGCAAACCGGCGGACAAAATCTGATGCTACGTAGATTGTCTGCAACTTCCACTTGTGGAATGGATCTTTGAATTTTGTATAATTCTACTTGTAGGCCCAAATCTAGGGATTTCTTGGCCCAAGCTGCAGAGGTCTCGAGCAAGGAAAGAATGGCGGGGGTTTGAGCGGTTGCCAAGGTGTGGAGGCTGGGAGCGCTTGGGACACGACGCCATGGTCGTGCTCCCATGTCGACGACGACAAAGTCGTAGCTGGAGAAGGAGATGAGGTAGTTGTGGTGGTGGAGGTGTGGTTGTAAAAGGTGGTTGATTTGATAGGTGAGGAGGTGGCGGTGAGGTTTAGGGTTTTGACTGGTGATTGCTTTGGGTGGCGTTGGGTTGGGTGGTGGTTGTGGTCTGATGGTGAAGTTAAGGGAAGGAGAGGGCGCATAGAAACTGAGAGAGATGAAGAAGAAGATATTTTTTTAAATTAAATTTTCCATTATTTTTTTTAATTAAAAAGTAATTACATTATTTTAATTTTTATTAATATATTATTTCACTTCAGTTAAAAAAGTGGGCCATGTGCATGACACATCATCATTTGTGGTAAAAATATGAAAATAGCCCTGCCACGTCATCAAAATTGACAGAGTTATGAATGAAGATAACAACATGGGATAAAGTGGAACACAAAACCAAGGTCAAAGGGGTTAAGTGGGTCATTTTAACTTTCGGGGGGCAAAATGAGATTGGACCAAAGTTTCAAGGGGCATTACAATAAATAAGCCTTTATTAAATCAGTTATAGTTTCTTTGATAATATATGCTACTCAAATAACTATACTGATTCTAGAGCTAATGCATACAACAAATCTCGACTTTTGGAAAGGGATATACATTTATGGGATGAAAGGTTGGCATATATCATGCCCGTTGCTATGATTCTTCATGATAACTCGTAGATCGCACATTGATAATAGTTTAAAAGTGTTGATTTGATTTATTGTCCTTAAATTATGTATTTCGCGAGTATGATCTTCATTTTATATACTGATCTAGTTGAAATTCTTGTATTCATTTTATTTGAACAAGTGAGTAAATTTGTCTTGGTTTAAGCTTTAACTTCTCGAGGCTACTTTTGCCTAGGCACTAAATAAAGAATATGTAGGGGGAGCCAAATGAAGAGATGCATGAGGGAAACAAAGAGAGAAAGGAAATGACAGACAAAAAGAATGAAAGCAAACTACATGTGAAAGACATAGCATGGTGGAAAACAACTTTCTTTATGTGATTCATTAGCCACATTACCATATTGAGGCAAGGTTTGTTCAAATGAACTTTGTAGTTTTTCTCTTTATTTAATTGACAAATTTTTTATCTTCTATTTCATGAGGTTCAATCATCGTGATTTTCCGGTAGTGTAGTAGAAACTTTCATGCTTTCAGAAGAGGAGAAAATTACTAGATTAATAAAATTTCGATGAAGACTATTTTCTGATAATTTATCGCTAACGGTACATGTTATACTTAAAATACTTTTAAAGGAAATTAAAAAGACAGCTACATTGGAAAATCATCTTTTACGGTATCCCTCGCAACAACAGTTCTAACAAATACCCCAACAGTACTAATCTGCCACTTTAAATCAACCCTAAGCACCCCCGAATAATCAGCATCTAAAAATGTTTACCACCAGTGCAACGTTGTTCGTGTCGATAAGCTCAAAGATGCAAACATCTCCTTTTTTCAACGAATTTTCCTTTGAAAATGCTCTCCAGCCAGCACTTAATTGACCGTTGTAACGATGAAAAATCAGTTTCACAGGCCACGATCTATCTCCGACCCAAAGCCTCACGATTTGGGTCTCCATTGTAGTGAAATGCTTCCGAAAACTAGCTGGAACATTCTGCATAACATAGATAATATTAGTATTGAATGACCAACCGAAGTTGTATAATTATTTGTTGTCAATGACCATTACCATCCCAAGGTATGACCCCAAAGTGACTTTGAAGAATGGGTGGCTTGAGACGAACTCATTGGCAGAAGATGAAGATGAAGATGATGGCTTTGATGAAGAACGAGGATTTGTTCTGCTTTTCTCTTGAGGCAGAGGAGATAGCAAAGGACCAGTTTTGTGCTTTGTTTTTGGGAAGGTTGGAAAATACTCCAAACTTTCAACAGACTTAACATCATCTTCTTCATCAGTTTCTTCAATCAGGGTTATAGCTATGGGATAATCCATCTCTGTGCCGCTTTCATCAAATATCAAAACGTGGAATTTTGAGTTCCCCTCATACCGGAAAAGTAAGGAGTTGCCTTTTTTGAGAGAGTAAAACTCAGAGAACTCCGGCCAACCCTTTCCAAACCAAACCTCACCATTACATCTTCTGAGTTTGATTTTCCATTCTGAACCACATGGGAGTTTAAGGTGTATTTGATCTGACAGATTCTCAGCATATTTGTCCAGAAATGTCTTTGGCACCCTCTGCACAAAACAAAAGCTTGTCAAGCAGCTATTTCATGCGCTTTGCCTCTTTCAGTTCTGAGTTACAATGCCTTTTCTGTCTTCTTTTTTTGGGTGACCATTCTTATATTACACCAATTGAAAAGAACAAAATTGCAGGATAGTAAATGCAGCATATGCTTTATTTCTCTGCCAATGTGAGCTTGGATATGTAAGATGCAATTAACAAATACAGATAACAATATTTCGTTACAAAGATCACAATTCAGTTCGTTTTCCAGAGCTTTTTCGAGTTCCTATTAGAATGTAATAGTGAATTTATTTAATTTTTTTTTTGTGATAGAGGTGCACAATTTAGATTTGCACCCTAGACCTTAGAAAAGTCAGTACCAAGATTTCAAAATTAGGCAAAACTATAATTTGGCATGTCATCTAAATTAGTCTATTTGCACTCTCTACATTGGGAGTCTTGTTTCAAGTCTATTTGCACTCCCAGACCCTTTTTCAAAAACTTAATGAGGCACCAATTTAAATTCGAAAAAGAATATATATATATTATTCAAACAATGAGCAAAAATGAGTTCTGATTTTGGACAGAAGAAACATGAACACTTACTATCTGTCAAACTAAGCAAAAATATGAGTTATAATTTCTTGGTGGCCCATAAAATTACTATGATGAGCAGTGTATGTATAGGGGAAGGTGAGGAGAGTAGGAGGGAAGAAAGAGAAAGAAAAAAAACTATTTTTTCTAAGATTGGATAAGAGTAAAACACCAGATCTAAGTAGTGACTAGTCAGCAACCAAGAACATAGCATTCAAGTATTTTGTAATGCAGAGCATGTACGTATTTAGTTGAAGAGAGAGTTGGGCTTGCTTACAAGTCTTTTGTCTACGATCTTGTTAAAAAAATGGGGAGTTGTAGCACGAAACTTTGGACCTTGATGATCAATTTTCTGGTGAGGTGAAGGCGCCATTGTAGGTAGCACTTGAAAACTTTAAGATGTGTCTGCTTCAAGATAAAGCCAATGTAGGAGGCAGCTATGGCTTCACTTCATTTTTATGCTGAGTTGTTGTGCCATCTCAGCTAATTAAATTGAGTTCAGGGGCAGGAAGTTGTCAAGTTTATGAAGGCTCTGCCAACCACAAGCACTTGACATTAAAGCTGAAAAGAGTGTAGGGAGAGATTTAAACTGGGATGGGGAGTATTGAAGATTTTCCTATATAGGTAGAGAGATTGAAATGTTTGTCTATCATCCAAACAGCTTTTTGGGGAGTCAGAATACAGCTGTAGCCATATGAATATGAAGGCTACGTTCAGGATTTGCAGATTCAAGCCCACAAAACTGATGAAGAGAGGCTTTTTTTTAAGCAGAAAGCAGAAAGTTTTCACCAAAATGTGCTAAGCTAGCTAGAGCACCTAACATATGCCAGCATGCTTTTGCCTTTTTGAGAAATTTTCACCAAGATGTGCTTTTTAGCTAGCAAGGCCTGAGCCTGACCATCCAATAATATGTCAGCATGCAAAAGGCGAACCAGACTTTGCTTAAATGCTCTTTGCCTCTTTGAGTTTTGAGATACCCTTCTTTTTCTGTCTTCCTCTTTAGGGTTACCATTCTTGTATAACAGACTTTGCAACTCTGAAAGCTGGAAGAGACACAAATTTTGCTTTGATTTCTTTGTGCATACCAAGATTTACAAGAGTTTAAGATTGTTTCTATCCCAAAGCTTTCACATGCTGTGGCTAGATTGTTAATTTTTTTTTTATTTGGCTAAGGAATTAAACACATTGAACACCAAGGAAATTGATAAAGCAAAAATGCAAATTTTTTTTATTAAAGTGAACAGTTTCCATCACCATCCAAAAAGTTCATGTAGTAGTGTGTGTTTTTCTGCTCCAAAATAAATTCTGATTGAAAAGCTTGATGTGGCCATTATATTGTGGACATGCAGTGATGCAATTAGTGCTTGATGTGTTTCCATGGAAATTGTACAATTTTTTTTTTCTTCTTCAACAATCTTTAAAAGTTTTGATTTTAGTTAACATCATCAACAAACTAAATCTTCGTTTATTTATTTATTTATTTATTGTAACGTAATGCAATAATGAGAGAAACCTCAAAACTTATTGAATAATAATAGGAATAACAATGCTAATCACAAAGCTAAAGTTACTTTTAGTATTATCTCAAATTGCCACGTTATTTCGACTCATTTCAGTGTTTTCTTCGAAACAACAACGAGTTATGGGCTCAAATCAGTGTTCAAGGCTCTATCAACATTCCATGATCCTTTAATCATAAAAAAAGTGAAGTTCTCATTAGCATGACTGAAAGACAATCATAGGAACTTTTCTAATTACAAAATCCTTTTAACCTTGAGATGCTCCATTATTGGTGGTAACGTTAAAACATACTTAGCTATGTAAGGTGTTGTTTGTGCTGCTTCTTTTAAGGCAAGGACTATAGTCTATAGCGTATGAGTAATAATAGCAGGGTTGTTGCTTTCGTTGAACCTAAAGTAATCTTCTCTAATCAATACATGCCATAAGACTACAATGCATCACCGAAAAACCAATAATGCGTATGACATGCAAAGGAGTTTGAGCATCGTTCGAGCGTTCTCGAAAGAGCTCGTGCATAACCTTAAGTGACTATATCTTTAAATCGTTAAATAAATAAAGAAAGAAACTAAAGTCTTTAGTGTGCTACTAAAAAGTTAGTTTTCCAAATTTCCTCAATAACCATGCAGTCTAATATGTGAACATGCTATGATCTTAAAAATTAGGTGTTGGGTGCTCTGACTAACTTGTTGGGTGTATTGTAAATAGAATTTCCCAAAAACGTTTGGGCTAAGGGAGGTTCGAGGCCCAAGAAATGGATTTGGACCCATTATCAATTTTTGTCTGAGTTTCACAGACCGTGGTGGAGCCCAACTTAAGCCTCCGTCCCTGTGTAGGGTTTATGCCTGCAACCTCTCGCGCCATACCAGTCACTCTCTTCTGAGCTTTAGAAGCCATGGATGCACCAAGCTTATGTTAACCTAATCACGACCACAATGCCCAGATAACATCCTCAATTCCCTGAAATCACACCCCTAGCCCCAACAAAATGAGATATTTACGGTTCATTTCCCCACATTTTTCTCGTATTCACAAAACCTTAAACCCCCAAAGCCCTAATCTTCTATCCTCTCTCCAATCAAAGCCCCAGATTTGTTCGCATTTCGTGTGCAATTACACCACTGGTGCACCGGAGCAAAGGCCACCTCCGTCCGAGACGGTGTCGGCAATCGCGGATGAGATCTCGGGCCTGACTTTGCTTGAAGTCTCGGACCTCACGGAGGTTCTGAGGGAGAAATTGGGCATAAAGGAGATGCCGGTGATGGCGATGATGATGCCAGGGATGGGATTTGGCGGCTTGAAAGGGGCCGGCAAGGGTGGTCCGGCGGCGGCTAAAGGCGAGGAAAAGGTGGAGAAGACGGCTTTTGATGTAAAGCTCGATTCTTTTGATGCTGCAGCCAAGATCAAAGTGATTAAGGAGGTGAGGACGTTTACCAGTTTGGGGCTGAAGGAGGCCAAGGACTTGGTGGAGAAGGCGCCTACCCTGTTGAAGAAGGGGGTTACGAAGGAGGAGGCGGATTCAATTGTCGCTAAGATGAAGGAAGTTGGGGCCAAAGTTTCTATGGAGTGAGGTAATTTGTGCAATTTTGCTCATACGTTTTGTGAATTTGAATTTGATTTTGTGGTGTGGGTTGTAGCGTGTGTAGCGTAGTGACAAAGCCTCATGATTTGGTTCATTGTAGTGAAATGCTTCCGAATACTAACTGGAAAATGCTGCATAACATAGATCATATTAGTATTGAATAAAGTCCTGCATGGAGTATTTATAAGTTAATGTTTGAACCAAATGAAGTTGTATAATTATTTGTTGTCAATGACCCTTACCATTCTAAGGGATGACCCCAAAGTAACTTTGAAGAATGGGTGGCTTGAGACGAACTCGTTGCAGGCAGCTTTTAACATTACATCTTCATACCGGCAAAACAGTTTCCTTTTTTGAGAGGGTAAAACTCAATGAACTCTGGCCAACCCTTTTCAAACCAAACCTCACCATTACATCTTCTGAACCACTTGGGAGCTTAAGGTGTTTGTGATCTGATAGATGCTCTTTGGCACCCTCTGCACAAAACAAAAGCTTGTCAAGTAGCTATTTCATGCGCTTTGCCTCTTTCATTTTTGAGTTACAATGCTTTTTCGGTCTTCTTTTTTTCGGTGACTACTCTTATGACACCAATTGAAAAGAACAAAAATTCAGGCAAAGTTTTATATATAGGAAATGAAGAGTAATCGTAGAAGGACAAACATGATCTATATTTTGGCCTATTATCAGAATTGCAGGACAGTAAATGCAGCATATGCTTTATTTCTCTGCCAATGTGAGCTTGGAGATGTAAGATCATTTAACAAATATTGATATCAATATTTCATTATAAAGACTACAATTCAGTCCAATTTCCAGGGTTTTTTTGAGTTCCTATTTGAATGTCATAGGTGAAATTATTTTGTGATAAGGGGGGCACAATTTGGATTTTCGCCCTTAAGCCTTAGAAAACTCACATCCAGTTATGTGTTGGACCTTTAAATTTTCATCTAAATTTATTCTGCAAAACCAGAATTTGGTATGTCTATCTAAATTTATTCTATTTGAATGTCATAGGTGAAATTATTTTGTGATAAGGGGGGCACAATTTGGATTTTCGCCCTTAAGCCTTAGAAAACTCACGTCCAGTTATGTGTTGGACCTTTAAATTTTCATCCAAATTTATTCTGCAAAACCAGAATTTGGTATGTCTATCTAAATTTATTCTGCTTTTCTATTGATGCAGAGAGGAGATGGCAAAGGATCGTATCTGAGCTTTGTTTTATTCTGCATTTAGTTGTGTCATCTCATCCAAAGTGAAGTACAGTGGCAGTGAGTTATGAAGGCTCTGCCAACCACAAGCACTTAACATGAAAGAGGAAAATCTTGTAGGGTTGTGGAAAGACTGGACTCATTGTGGAGATCGGAGGACAAAGCTGTGCCAAGTGACTTTAAGAGAATGATTTTGTTTGAATTTTGACCACAACAAATGGTTTTGGTATATTGCATTATGACCAGATTGAGGCTAGTACTAAACCATTGCCAAACAAGGCATAAATTTTTCAGAAAAGCAGAGGCATGATGCAGGAAAAAAAAAAAAAAAAAAACCCCACTCAGCTCTTTGGGAAGTCAAAATACAGCTATACAACATTGGCAAGAAAAAAAACAAAAACAAAAAAGGGGTAGAGAATAAAAGGGTTCCTTTTATTTATTTTTTACAACAAGAAGGCCTAACAAACCATCCAACACAAAGATGTAATAACATTTAAATATGTGAACTTTACTGCAATCAAAGGGTGTGGGTTAAGTAAAAATGTCTCAAAGTTTTACTCAAAATTTCCATATTTTTCTAATAATTTCCATTCTCTGTCTAATTTTTACCACTATCGATATTTTCTCCATATGTCCATCGAAATTTCTACATTATGGAGCTACCGATATTTCCAAAATGACGGATATTTAATACCTTTCAGCACTCAAAAACATGGGGCCACACGTTCAGTTAATTCGAATTTTCACTACTTGACAAAACAGTGGTAAAATCCAACTACCTCTAAAGGCATGCAGGGTCATCTCTAAGTTTCCTACAAATGAGAAAACAATTTGAAAATACACGAGCACGAAAGCAAGCAGTCAAACATTATTTGTCCACAACCCCTACATTCCGTTCGATAAACGATGCAAGTGCCTCCTTCCATTACGATGCGATACCATGTCAAACTCAGTACAGCAGCCTACATCACAAATCTTGCACCACAGAGGAGGACCATTCATCCTTAGACCACTATTTGCCTTGTGGTGTTCTAGCATATTTTCCTAATGCTTCCTTCCACTGAGAATGCCAAGTCAATCTCACCAGGGAAGTGCACATTACAAATTTTGCACCACACGATGATCCTTCATCCTTGGAGCTTCATTTGGGTTCTGTTGCTGGCCTTGCACCTTTCCCTTGAGAGTTATTATAAGTTTCCTTTTCAGTGCATTGCTGGATATACCCTCTGATGGCTCCTCAGCTGCTTGCACCTTTCGATTGATAATCACCTTGGGTTTTGATCCACTGCCCGGTACAGTGTTTTCTGGCTCATCTGCATGCACCTTTCGATTGATAAAAATCTTGGGTCTTGATCCACTGCTCGGTATACTG